CTCGTAAAACTACACACCACCCTGGGTTGTAATGGCCTTATCCTGTGTGCACCTTCTGCTGGACTCTAAGTCTCACTGTGTTCACTGGTGAGTCCTTGGACCCGGCCCACACCTGGCCATGTAGGCCTTAGTAATGTTTACAGAGCAAATCAGAATTCCAATGCAAGTTGGTATCGTGTAGCTATTGCCTTGTTTGGGCAGCCATGAAATACTTCTTCCCTAAGTATCCTTCTCCACCCCACACATTCCCAAAGAAATGTCTCATCGCACGAGCAAGTATAACATATCTTTTGAGGAATGAGACTCCTGGAATTCACTGCCAAGGCATTAGAAGCTGTACAATCTTAGGTGAGTTATCAAACCTTGCTGTGCCCCAATTTTCCCATTTGCACGGGGGGGTGTTAGAGTAACTTCTGCCTTGTTGATGGTTATCAAAATTAAGCACTTCAAAGAATATTCCCCTGCACCAAGCACTCATTGCCATAGAAAGGGTTCAAGCTTCTCCTTGTTCCTGCTCCTCTCCCTGTTTCCCCATCAATTCTTGGGTGTTTCTGCCAGAGTCCTTCTCCATGGTCCTTTGCTTGTCCTGGACCCTTCTGAAAGTGATGTCAGACCCCTCAAGAACAGGAGGGTCTCAGTGAGACTAGAGAGGATGCAAGGGCTCCCAGTGCAGGTTTCAGGGAATGCTGGTCCCATGGAGAGTCTTGGGCCAAAAAAAGTTCTTCATTGAACTGAGTTGACAGTATCCATATGAATTTCACTTATTAAGTGTGAAAACATTAAAAGCCTTGAGGCTTTCTTCTTGCTGAAGAAAGAAAAAGCTGGCTAACTTTGTTTAACTCTCTGTATTCCCCTCTTGCTTTGTATTTTATGTTTTCTAGGACTTTTGCAGAAGCCTGTTGGACAGAATCAGGAGGGTTGGTGGTGCTGGAGTTAGATAAGCCTGAACCACCTTCTACTGAGCAAGTGGTTGTCCTTGAGTGACTTCCTTCAGTGATGGGGTTCTCGGCTTCCGACTGATAAAATGACAGTCACAATGCCAACCTCATCCCTTGGGGAAGATAAAGTGAACTACCCACTTGACCCATGTGGGAGCTGGGTTACTGTCCCTTATCTCTGATAGTCCCAGCTTCTGGCAGACATGTTCCTGTTGGGTTAGGGGATGACAGCTATGTGGACCCAATCACTGTTGCCACTCTGAGGTTCCTAAAAGACCTCCATTGGGGTCAGAGTTGACATCCACATGATCATTTTTAGAGCCCTCTATTGAGGGTTGCAGCTTTCCCCTGGTCAGAGGAGAAATTGGTCTCATCTCATTAAAAAAATATATATATATGTATATTGGTTTTATTCTGAGGAGCCCTGTTGTTCTTTGTGGAAGATGTCCGTTTAAGAGAGAAAACTTCTGTTTCCGGCAGTTTTATTTTCTTTTATATAAAATGCCTCCTCTCTTCTATTTATTTTGAGATGCAGATCTGGGAACCTTGCCATCCTCGGCTGTGCAGGCAGTCATGTTTTGGTTTGGTTTTTACTGAACACCGGTTTCCTCTGTTGCCTGACAGCTGTGTTGGGTTCTGGCGACAGGTGTCTTCTGGAGTTTAGAACGGCCCTGCCAAGGACATTCACAGGGTTTCTTGATGACAAAAATCTTAGGAATTTTGCTTTGTTTCATTAAGAAGAAATATATATATCCTGGGTTCCAAATAAGCATAAGAAAATACCATATTTTAATTATAACTTGGGTTTTACCTTTATCCAAAAGTGAAACTTGACAGCTAGAGCAGGGAGTTAATGGAAACCGCTTCACGT